TGGCAGCGCCGCCGCTACCCCCACGGCCGCCGCAGCTGCTGCCGTCGCGCGCGCAGGCGGCCGTGGCGGGGGCGCCTGTAAGCAGGGTTGCGGACGGCGACGGCACGGCGGGCGGGCCTGGCGGGACGTCCGGCGCCGGCGTGGGTGGGGCGCTAGGTCCGGCGTCCTGACTTGCGGGCACCTGCAGTTGCTGCGGCCGCGGTGCGGGGCCGCCTGGGCCGCTGCTCGCGAAATCCAGCGGGCCGGCGTCACCAAGGCGCCCGAGCGGTGCGTCGCCTGGGACGCTCCGGGATGCCTCTGCGCGGGGCTGCGCGCTGCGTGGCATCTATCAACACACTTGTTTTCAAGGGGGCCTCCCTGCCTCCGTGCGAGGTAGGGAGCAGACGCGGATGGCCGAACACGCAGGCCTCAAGTTGAATTACATGTGCAAGATACACAATATCATGGAAAAATGGTGAGAGTTGAATATGGGACGTTGGATGCCTATACGAGGCAAATCACTGCAAGCACACCAGTGCAATCACTTGCACTCTCCAGGTGCCCGCGGTCTTCGTGTGTAGTAAGTTTCAGCAAATGCAAGCCTACGTCACGACGGTTACATTAGGGTTAATTAGCATCATAGACGGCGCTCATTCGCTCCAAGGGGTGTTCAGCTGAACAGATCACTGCTGCTGGCTTCCCGCCAGCAGGCGCAGCAAGAATTGTGTAGGCTAACCGACAGCAACCATGCCTTTCCCCATGGCTTACGTGGGACGGCATCCCAAGCCGAAGGACCTTCTTGGCAAGGTGCTGTACGGCATCGGCAGCGTGCTGCGGGGGACTGGAAAAGCGCTGGATAGCGTAGGATCCTCGATTCAGGGACCCTATGGCGTGCAGGCCGAGCGTGAGTCTGGCCAGATCGCCTGGGGTTGGCTTGTGTGGGGGAGCAGCTGGCCCTGCAATGTGGGAGGGCTGCTTCTCGTGAGCTTTGCGCAATTCAGGTCGACACCCTGCCTTTGGCGCTGCCCTGCGGTGCAGCCAGCTTGTTTTCGGGCGCGTTGCCGCACTGGCGCGTCACTGTTCTGCAGGGATGCACTGCATTGCAGCGTGACCCGCCTGCAGCTGGGTGACCGTCCATCGGGTGTCTCGAGTCTACAATACTCATCGTCACGGCACGGAAGGTGCTCGCGTGTGGAGCCCCTCCCACCCCCCCTCCCCCTTGGAACCCCGGTGTTTCGCAGTGCCGCCCAACACTGCGTGGCTGCCGTTGATAGCCAACCCTCAGGTGGGCCCGTGGCCCCACCCGGCACACGAAACCTTGCTTATCGTGTGGGAAGCATCCTGCTCAAAACAAGACGGGCAGCAACGGCCCCGACTGCAGCATTGCTCTCGCCAACGCCGCAGCAAGTTCGAGCTCGGCACAGAGCTTGCCAATGCACGCCCCTCGCCGCGCCGAGGCTGCCGCCGCCAACCGGGCCTTGCAGGTCAAGGGCGTCGGGAAACATTCAGAGGTGGCTTCGCGACCAGACTTGAAGGACTCCCCAAAGGTGCGGCGCGCCGCGCCTCGCCACAGCCCGCGCCGCACTTTCCGGTCGCCGCGAGCGCCGCAGGCTCCCGCATTCAAGCCAGCAGCACGCCCGGCTCGGGCCTCTCAACGCGCGACAAGCCCGCGGCGGCGCCGGCGCCGGCGCCGCTCGCTCGGCCGCCGCGGCTGCGCCCACGTAACGCGCGAGGCTGCCCGCGACCGCATCCACATGACGTCCACTCTGCTGCGGACGCGTGCGGCCAGGTATCGATTGTGGAGCCGGTGAAGGGCCCGGACGTGTTTGTAGCGCAGAACGCCACCATTCTGGGCAACGTCAGCATCGGCAAGGGCAGCAGCATCTGGTACGGCGCGACCTTGAGAGGTGAGGCTCGCCGGGCGCGACGAATGCATTGCATCACATTGCAGCACTCTATTCCAGCAGCGAGGACAAATCTGTTTGCAGGGGAGAACCCCTGGCTCTCGATATGGGGGTAACGCCCCCAACATCAAAGGCCAGAGGAGCAATTGGGCGAGACCCGCGCGCGCGAGAAACCCCGCACGGCGCGTGGCAGCCGCCGGCCACGCTGCCAGAGCTTGCCACGGGAGGGCGGCGCAGCTGCGCATGAGGCAGACGGGCGCGGCTGGCTGAGCGCGTGGCGGCGCTTGCTGCCGGCGCATGTTGGAAGCGAAGGGCAACCACTTGAAGCAATGAGAGCTGCCATTGTAGGTGCGCACACACCACGTGCACATGCTCGCCCCGTACCCCGCCAGGCGACGTCAACGCCATCACCATCGGCGAGCGCACCAACATCCAGGACAACGTGGTCATCCACGTCGCGCGCCACGTGCCCAGTGGGTCACTCTTCGGGTTGACCACTTGGTTGACCACTTAGTTGACCACTTGGTTGACCGGCGCGTGCGAGCCTGATTTGGGGACTTTGATCCTTGGAGTCTGGACCTCGGAGTTCCTGGGTTGCTGGTTTGGACACGGATACTTGTGAGACCTGCCGGTTTGCAGCCGCTGTTTGCCCGCGTGCGCGTTTTCACTGTCCCCGCGCAAAAACGCGGCTGCCGCCCCGTGCAGGCACTGCAGCGCCGCGCGCCACCGTCATCGGCAGCAACGTGACGGTCGCGCACGGCGCGCTCGTGCACGCGGCGACGATCGGCGACGGCTGCCTCGTGGGCATGGGGGCCACGCTGCTGGACGGCGTCACGCTGGAGCCGGGCAGCGTCGTCGCCGCCGGCGCGGTCGTGCCGCCGGGTGCGCCGCTGCGCTGGGGCGAGCGGGCGGGGGGCCTCGCGCGGCAGGCGCGAAACCAAGTGGGTCGAGCGACTGGCAACCTTGTGGCGGATTGGTATGGTACCGTGCGCCACCATTTCGACTCGACTTGAAACCGCCCGCGCGCGCCCCCGCGGCCGCAGGCGCCGTCATCAAGACGGGCCAGATCTGGGCGGGCGCGCCGGCCAAGCTGCTGCGCACGGTCAGCGCCGAGGAGGCGTCGTTTCTGGTGCAGAGCGCAGACAACTACGCCAAGTTGGCGCAGGCGCACAAGTGGGTGCATGCGTCGTTGACTCTGGGCGCTTTGGTTGTGATCATCTTGAGGCTGAGTTTGTCGTCACTGGGTCATCAGGCGGACCGGCAACCGCGCAGAGCTCTGAGTTGTGGCGGCTGTGGTGATCGTGCTTTCGTGACGTGAGGCCAGAGCACGGCGTGCAGAGGCTGGCAGCGCTTGCAGCCCACGCCTTGATTGCAGCGCGCGCGCCGGCTCGACCCCTCCTATACAGCGGCCCCTCTCACCAGTCATCGCCCCCCACCGCAACTCGGCCACGCGGCCGCCGCCGCCGCCCCGCCAGGACCGAGAACGGCAAGGTGTTTGAGGAACTTGTGCTGGATGCGACCATTGCGGGTGGGTGGCCTCGGCGGCCTCGGTGGGGGTTCCTCGCATCTGTCAGCCCGCACACCCGGCCGCTGGGGCGTGCCGGTCACACGCCGTCCAACGGCTGGCGCCTGCTGGCCCCGCGCCCGCCTGTTTTGAAGCGACCGGCCGCTTGTCGGCGCTGGCGTGACCGTGGACTCTCTGCCCCCGTCCTGTTCGGCCCGCAGGCGAGCGCGCGTGGCGGGAGAAGACCGACTCGGACGTGCACCAGGGCATCTACAGGGACCCCCAGACCCAGGTCCTGCTCAGCATGCGCTGACCTCAGCATGCGCAGCACGCACAGCACGGGCGCCACCCCCCAGGACGCGCGGCGTCCCACCTATGCCTCGGCACCCAGTGGCGCCCCCCCCGCGCGCTGATCGGTTGGAGCGGTGCGGTGTGCAGCAGGCGGCTGCAGGCGCCTCGGTACCAACTGCTGTGGGCGTCCGCTGGGTCGCCTTGGTGGCGGCTTTGTTTTCAAAGGAGGTCAGCGCCGGCCGGCCTGCAGAGCCCATGCATGGAGGGGGCTCTTGGTCGGGTGGCGCGCTCCAATCGCGGCCTCAGGCCGCCGGCTTGACACGTAGAATGAGAACGATGGTGAAGACGCGCTGGGCTGCTTTGCGTTCGGCCTGTGTAGGCGGCTTGGCGGCGTTTGTAGCGAGCAGGTGTTGTTGTGGCGGCTGCCTGGGGCCCCCGGATAGAACGGCGCAGGCATGTGGTGCTGCTGTTTCTCTGTTTCTTGCATTTTTTGGACGCGCCGGCGAGTGGCACTCCACCGCCTTATGGTGCAATCGAGTTGCGCCCTTCTTCAGTTTCCCGAAGCATGTGTGCGACCGCGACGAGTGGTGCTGTGGCAGAACACTTTGCATGTTGCCTCCGGCCAGTCCTTGTGCCACTTTTTCTCACCGGCTTTCTTCCCTCCTCGTTGGTAAGCCGTTTCCACACACATCTTCAAACACATCTTCAAGGGCCTGCCGCGTGTTGAGGCACATTCTGGGCTTGAGGTTGCTCGGTCATTGGAACGATGCTGCTGTTTCTCTGTTTCTAGTGGGCGTGCACCCCTTATCCCACAGCTGTACCCCTGTCATGTGCCCGTGGGCAAAGGGCCGGTCAACCGCATGTCAGGCCAGTCGTAGCTCAGGAACGTGCGTGGCCACGGCGTCTGCCTCAAGCTTCATAAAGGTGTCTGGTATGTCTTTCGGAGCGGCATCAGAGCTCATCTAGGCACTCAGAGCTTGGGTCTGTGGGCACATGTCTGGGTTGTTTCCACAGGTGCAGCGTCGTTTGACTTCTTGTCCACTGTAGGGAGTGCTATGTACAACGATTCACATAGCATCTTCTTTAAAAATACCGCAAGGCGAGAAAGAGGACGGCAGCCGCTCGTGTGTCGATTGTGACGGTTCGGCACCCGCAGGTTTGCGGGATGGTGAGAGGGCGACGGCGACAAGCTGGAGTCTCATTCAAAGCTCAGGCATTTATCGGGGGTGCTGCGCGCAGGCTCATCTCCTGCATCTAGCTCGGGTGCCTACTCCGGTCTGGATCGCACGTAGCTCCGGGACCATTCCATTTGGTCGCAGGTCATCGCTGCCACAGGCGAATATTACAGCAATGGCTCTCTCAGCGCACCAGTCCCGCGTGGGCCTGCGCGCCAACAGCAGCAGCATCTGCAGCAGGAGGGCGCTCGTCGTCCGTGCCACGGCGACCATGGAGGCCAAGGTGATTTGAAGATCCTCAATCAGAGAATAGACATGGCTTTGCACCTGGCACCTACGTCGACCTTGGGCTCGCTGGGAGCTCGATCGCTCACTGGGGCCGATCTCTCACCCGCCTCTCCTGGGCGTGAACTCGCCGCTCATGGCGACCACAGACCACCAGGAACGGTGTTGGTGTCGAGAACTACATCAGTGAGGTGCCAGAGACGCTCACGCGCCCGGACCTCGACACGCCCGACACGTGAGCGCAAGCGGCGCGTCGGCGCACCAGGCGCCCTGGCATCGATGCAGCCCACGGCTCGTTAAAGCACTGCCTGCCTCTTGCGCCTGATGGCTGTGACGATGCAGCATCGAATGCAGCGGCCGCAACACACGCCCCCCCGCCACATGGCACCCGCCCGACCCCACAGCTGCAACCCAACAATCGTCGCCGCCGCTGCCCCCCCTCCGCGCCCTCCCGCACGCCGCCCCCGCAGCATGCGCTTCCGCTTTGAGAAGATGATCCGCGAGGCGCAGGACTCCATCTGCGCCGCGATCGAGGAGATCGACGGCACCAAGTTCCGCCAGGACGCCTGGGTGCGCAACGAGGGCGGCGGCGGCATCACGCGCGTCATCCAGGACGGCAACGTGTGGGAGAAGGTGCGGCCTCGCGCGTGGGCGGGGGGCGAGCAGAGGGCGTGCAGGGCGCGTGGGCGCCGAGCGGAGTCGTCCGCGCTGGGCGCGCGCAGCAGCGGCGGGCACACGCGCGCGCGTGTGCGGGGGGGTGTCTGCAGGCGTGTCAGCTTGTGTGTGCACGCGTGCGTGTGTTGCCTTCAGTGGTGTGAAGAGGTCATAAGCATGCCGTTACTTGTGTTACTTGTGAAGATTCTCGCTGGCTCCTCCTGCATGCCATCGCGTAGCACCGCTGCCAGCCCCTATGCCGCCTCCATAGTCTGCAAGACCCCCCCCCCCCC